CCTAGAGACACACCTAACAATCAGCTTCTAATTATCTGTACTAAAATTGACAACTCGATCTCCAGATCGAGAATCTGTCGAATCTAGGACAAAGAAGTCCAGTATATCTTCAGGTGGCGGGGTCCAAGAACGTGAAGAATTTCTCCGTAGATTTGTAGAAAGCGAAAGCTTGATTGAGAACCTTAAGAGGAACCTCCTTTTGAATTAGTAGATCTTCAAAAGTTTGATTATGCTTTGGAAGGAGTTCCATTTCAGCAGCTGATTCGAATCCCTAGTGCAATCTGTGACTCGGCTTCTGGCGTTGTGGAAGCAACTGCTTATCTTGCCCTTGAAGATTTTCTTCATGCAAGTGTGAAGGGTTTGATAGGAACAAACCCTATTTCCTCTAAAAGAAAGAAAAAAAGAAGACAAAAAGAAGTAGAAGAAGACAGAGAAAAAGCAAGAATGAAAAGAAAGAAAACGAGAGAAGAAAGGAAAAGTCAAAGTTGGTGGGCTGCAAATGTGAAAGAAAGAATTCGGCGCATAGTTTGCGGTGCCATCCTGCCACGTATTCACATTCGCTGAAAACTTTTTTTCTCAGCAGACGCTCTGCCTATAAATAGGCATTCTCTTCTTCAGTTGTAGATCATCACACACATTCTTCTTTCTCTCTCAATATCAATAAAGCTATTCTCTGTGTGATCGTGGAGTAGGCAAAAATTGTCGAACCACGTAAATCTTGTCTTGTGCAATTTATTGTGTTTCTCTTTAAATATATGTATTTTTTCTATTAGCCCGACACGCTCCCAACAACTGGTATCAGAGCACAGTCAATGTAATTCTGGTAGAGAAGTACGGTATTGGTGCAGGTACGATTCACAATAATAGTGCGATACTATTGATCATCAATACTAACACTATTCACAATAGTGAAGTATTATTCATTAATAGTGATAGTATTGTTCACTAATAGTGAGTGTTGTCTACCTTATACGGTTGAGATATTTTTCCTACACGGAGTACTATTCGCGATTACTATTCACAAGCACTATTCACATAAAAAAATATTTTTTTGTGAAGAAATGACCTCGGAAGAAGGGAAGGTTAAGATTGACAAGTTTAATGGTAAAAATTTTGGATTCTGGAAAATGCTAATAGAGTATTATTTGTACCAGAAAAATTACACTTACCTCTGACCGGGGTAAAACCAGAGAATATGGCCAATGCGGTTTAGGATCTATTAGATCGCTAAGCTCTTGGTGTGATTCATTTGACGCTGACACGAAATATAACGTTCAACATCATTAACGAGAAGACCACTGCAGGCCTGATGAAGGCGTTATCGAATATGTACGAGAAGCCATCTGCTTCAACTAAAGTCTATTTGATGCGTCGATTGTTCAACCTAAAGATGACAGAAGGTGGATTTGTTACGGAATATATCAATGAGTTTAATGTAGTATTAACTCAGTTGAGTTCTGTTAATATAACATTTGATGACGAAGTCAGGGCGTTGCTTCTACTATCCTATCTACCGGAGAGTTGGTCTGCAACAGCAACTGCAGTTAGCAGTTCATCGGGAATTACCAAACTCGAATTGGATGATATCAGAGACTTGGTTCTAAGCGAAGATATTCACCGGAGAGAATCAAGTGATTCCCAGGATCTGCTTTTAATACCGAAAGCAGGGGAGAAACAACCAAAGAGGACAAAGTTGGTCGTCGCAGATCAAAGTCAACGAGGAGGCCAATCCAAAAATCGCAAAGACATTACTTGTTGGAATTGCGATAAAAAGGGTCACTACAGTAGTCAGCGTAGAGAACCAAAGAAGAAGAACGATGAAAAGTTACCAAACCTCAAGCATGTTGAATTAGGTTTATGCGAAGATTGCATTTAAGGGAAACAAAAGAGAGTTAGTTTCTCAAAGGCGGAAAGGACGCCAAAGAAAGAGAAGCTGGAACTAGTGCATACAGATGTGTGGGGACCAGCTCCTGTAACTTCTGTGGGAGGCTCACGCTATTATGTCACCTTCATTGATAATTCCACGAGAAATGTATGAGTTTACTTTTAAAAAAATAAATCTGATGTGTTTGTTACCTTTAAAAGATGGAAAGCTGAAGTTGAAAATCAGACAAACCTAAAGTTAAAATGTCTGAAGTATGACAATGGAGGAGAGTATGATAGTCATGAGTTCAAAGCATTCTGCTATGAGAATGGGTTTAGAATGATCAAGATAGTTCCTGGAACACTAGAACAAAATGGTGTTGCTGAGAGGATAAACAAAACCCTGAATGAACGAGCCAGAAGTATGAGAATACGTTCTGGTTGCCGAAGTATTTTTGGGCCGAGGCTGTTCACACGGCAGCTTACCTCATAAACAGGGGACCCTCTGTACCACTAAATTTTGAAATTCCTGAGAAGGTATGGACAGGAAAGGAGGTAATTCTCTCATATCTGAAAAACTTTGGTTGTGTTGCTTATGTGCATGTAAACTCTAATGATAGAGATAAGCTTGATTTTAAAGCCAAGAAATGTTTCTTTATTGGCTATGGTGATGATGATTTCGGTTATCGATTTTGAGATGATCAGAATAGAAAGATCTTAAGACACAGGAATGTCACATTCAATGAAAATGTGATGTACAAGGACAAGCTTGGAGTAGAACCAACCAGCACCAGCAGACAGACATCTGAAACAATTGAGTTAGAAGAAATCTCAGAAAATGAAGTGGCTAGAGGGATTACAACCGATTCTGAAATTGAAGATGAAGAATGAGAAGCCGAATCTCGATCAGAATCAGAACCAGAGATAGAATCAGATGCAAAATCAAATCTGGACTTGAATCAAATTCGGGATCAATTACTCCTGAACCTACATTAAGGAGATCTAAACGAGTCACGAATGCTCCACATAGGTTAACTCTCTCTCTCTCTCTCTCCACTTTCTACTTCTGACCGATGTTGGAGAACCAAAGCATTTTGTTGAAGCAGTGCAGGTGATGAACTCTAATAAGCGGAAGCCAGCCATGAAAGAATAGATGAATTCTCTTCGAAAGAATAAAACATGGATACTTACCGAGTTACCAAAAGGAAAGAAGGCATTGCAGAACAAGTAGGTGTACTGGGTCACGGAAGAGCATGACGGTAAGAAGAGATACAAAGCACGATTAATAGTAAAAGGCTTTCAGCAGAAGGAAGGAATTGACTACACCGAGATCTTCTCCCTTGTAGTCAAATTAACTATTGGTGCTAAGTATCATAGCTGCAGGAAATTTGCATTTGGAGCAGCTAGATGTTAAAATTGCTTTCTTGCATGGTGACCTTGAAGAAGACATCTACATGAAGTAACCTGAAGGTTTAAGTTTCTGGTAAAGAAAACTTTGTGTGTAAGTTGAAGAAGAGCTTGTATGGTTTGAAGCAAGCTCCCGACAATGGCACAAGAAATTTGATGGGTTCACGCATAATAATTGTTTCACACGATGTGAGATGGACCATTGCTATTATATCAAAAATCTTGATGAATCCTATATCATTTTACTGTTGTACTTTGATGATATGCTAATTGCAGGATCTAGCATAAATGAGATCAACATGGTTAAGCATTTATTGGAAGAGGAGTCAAAATAAAAGACTTAGGACCAACTAAGCAAATGCTTGAGATGAGGATTAGCAGAAACATGTCTGAAGGAACCTTAAAGTTGTCTTAAGAAAAGTACATACAAAAGGTACTAAGCAGGTTCAGTCTTCATGATGCAAAGACCAGAAGCACTCCACTCAGAAGCCATCTTAATTTGTCAAAGGACCAATCACCTAAGACATTTGAAGAAAGGAAGTACATGTCTAAAGTTTCATATGCTTCAACAGTAGGAAGTTTGATGTATTCTATGGTTTGCATTACATAGCCCGTGCAGTTGGAGTTGTCAGGTCCAATAAAGGAGCATTGGGAAGGTGTAAAATGGATATTGTGATATCTCAAAGGCACCTCAGGTATGGCACTTTGTTTTAAAAGAAGCAATATTATCTTACAAGGTTTTGCTTATGTAAATTTAGGCGGCGATCTGGATAGTCGAAAAAGTACCATAGGCTACGTGTTTACCTTGGGTGGTACTGCTGTTAGCTGGATGTCCAGACTTCAGAAAAGTGTTGCTCTATCTACCACTGAAGCATAGTACATGGCAATATCAGAAGCTGAAAAAGAAATAATTTGGCTCAAGAATTTTCTTAAAGAGCTAGGTAAAGAGCAGGACAATGGTGAGCTTTTCGGGCTTAGACAGAGTGCAATTCATCTTGCCAAGAATCCAGTGTTTCATACAAGATCGAAGCATATCCAGCTGAGGTATCATCATATCTGAGAGTTGATAAGTGAAGGAACTATTTCCCTACGGAAGATACCAGTATTGAAGAATCCGTCAGATATGTTAACCAAAGTTGTCGGTGTTGACAAACTGAGGTTGTGCACTGCCTCAGTTGGCCTTCAAAACTAATAATGTGAAGGCGTCACATTAGAGAATAGTTTTTTTTTTTATTGATGTAATATAGGTTTGAGGGGGAGATTGTCTTTGCGATTCTTGGATTGTCCTCTTCTCCTTTGCCATTGAACTTGTCAATCTTAACCTTCCCATCTTCCGACGTTATTTCTTCACAATTTTGTTTTTTAACCGCGAATAGTACTCTGTGTAGCAAAAATGTCTCAACCGTATAAGGTAGACAACACTCACTATTGGTGAACAGTGCTATTACTGTTAATTAATAATACTTCACTATTATAAATAGTATTAGTATTGTTGATCAATAGTGTTTCACTATTATTGTGAATAGTATCTGCACCAATACCGTACTTTTCTACCAGAATTATACTGTATGTGCTCTGATACCAGTTGTTGGGAAGCGTGTCAGGTTAATAGAAACAACAACTCAGTATAATCCCACTAGTGGAGTCTGGGGAGGGTAGTGTGTACGCAGACCTTACCCCTACCCTGGGGTAGAGAGTTTGTTTCCGATAGACTCTCGGCTCCCTCCCTCCAAGAACTCCTCACCTTGTTCTTGGGGTGACTCGAACTCACAACCTCTTGGTTGGAAGTGGAGGGTGCTTACCACTAGAACAACTCACTCTTGTCAGGTTAATAGAAAGGAAAAATATATTTAAAGAGAAAAGTAATAAATTGCACAAGACAAGATTTACGTGGTTCGGTAATTTTTGCCTACTCCACGGTCACACAGAGAATAGCTTTATTGATATTGAGAGAGAAAGAAGAATTTGTGTGATGATCTACAACTGAAGAAGAGAATGTCTATTTATAGGCAGGGCGTGTGCTGGAAAAAAAAGTTTTAAGCGAATGTGAATACGCAAATGGCACCGCAAACTACGAGCCGAATTTTTTCTTTTATATTTGCAGCCCACCAACTTTGACTTTTCCTTTCTTCTCTCGTTTTCATTCTTGTTTTTTCACTTTGACTTGTTTTTGTCTTCTTTCTTTTACGGTAAATAGGGTTTGTTCCTATCAGGGTTTATGGGAAGCATTTTGGGATTAGGACAAACCTATGCCTTTCTATGTTTCTAGTATCTACAATTCAAGCTTGAGATTCTACCAAGCCGAGAAATCCATTGCTAAAGGGAGACTTGAAGGTCTTTGTGCTACAACTGTAATGCTAAAGAACCCAAAGCATCCACAAGGGAAGTGGGATGATATTCTGGAACTTGCTATTCTAAGGCCTGATATTGGAACCCGTGCTACAATAGAGAATGACAGTAAGCCTTCTCTCTCAGTTTTAGGTGAACCTTTATTCTTTACTCTACGTGTATTGTTTGCGAGAAGCCTCAGCAAATACAATATTCCTCTCAGTTCGAATTCTGTTTTTGTTCTTTTAGTTGACTCTCAATACGGTAGTACAACAACAACAACATACCCAGTATTATCCCACACCGTGGGGAGACTCTCAATACGGTGGGGTCATGAAAGTTGAAGGAGATATAACCAAGTTGGAAATGGATGTGTTAGATACTACCAAGTTGCAACGCACTATAACTACAATTAATTTTTTTAATACTATCTATCTTTCTAATTACCAGGTCACTAAATAGAATCTAAGTTTTTGTTGAAATCATTAGATCTAACATTTAATTTATAAGTTTTATTTGATGACTGAAACAAATTTTATTATATAAGTGTGTGTCTGCGTGTGTGTATGTGCATGCGGTTAAATTCTTTCTGTTAGATATATGTGCGACTCACTATAACTACAATTAATTCAACTTTTAGGACTTTAAGACTTAACTGAACAAAGTTAAATAAACCTAAACCACAAAACAAGAACTTTTAAAAACTTTAAGATAGAACTTTGACATTGATAGATAGAAGCAGCATAACGGAATAAGAACATACCCTAAACTCCAAAGACAAGTAACACTCACAGTACAACAACATTCACCAGGATTACAAACACCCAGACACCAAAAAACAAGAAACTAGTAGAACAACAATGTGAACGTAGATAGGGCCTACACAAAAATCACCAAAGCCCTAAAACCACCACAACCCCTAGTTGTTGTTCACGCTAGAATCTGCGTAGTGTGAACTTTCAAAAATAATTTTTTAACACAACTTTAAAAACTCTTTTTCAAGTTTCAACCAAATCTATATCCAAACGCTAGTTTATTTTCCTTTCTTCCTCATCACGAGCCACTCCCTTTTAATCCAAACCAATAAATAGCAAATATACAAAATCGACAACTTCACTTCACAGTTGGTTTTGACGATTTATCGAACACCCTCTTATCCCAAAGTTGGAGTAATCTCTTTAGGAGAAGGGACAAATTTGTTCATATATTATTCAAAATTGTTCAGTTTTTTGCTTTTCTTTCAAATTTTTGGTCTAATTTTACTGTGTTGTTAGGAAACAGTATTATGTTTGCCTTTGACCCCAAATGAAACTCCAACTTGAGGGTAATACTATAATCAAAAGTTGAGTAGTAAATTTGAATTTGGATACAGAGTTCATTTTGTTTATGCTGGAGCAGTGTTAATAACAATAGCAATTGAAAAGCAATTGGGTGATAGCAGGTCGAATGGAAATGGTTTATTTCGCTTTGAGCAACATAGTGCTTCACCTGAAATTGTAGAAGTGCGCGAAGAATCCGTCACGTTGGTATCTGAAAAGTCCATAAACTGGAAGAAGGCTTTGTTTCTGTATGTAGGTTCGCATCCTTCTCAGCTGGAACCAGCATGGGTAGAATCTCTATATTGTTGGTGAAAAGAAACAATATAAGGAGGCACTACACACTTAGTCATTAGGTGCAATGTGCAATAGGTGCTCCCTAGGGGGNAAGAAGGCTTTGTTTCTGTATGTAGGTTCACATCCTTCTCAGCTGGAACCAGCATAGATATGAAGCTATGGTATCAAGTTCAGAGGCAAACTAAGATATTAAGTATTATGAAACAAATGGGGTTATCTAGCAAATATCTGCCTCATTTAAGTGCATCCCCTGGCCAGTGCAAGAGACTCATATCCTAGTGACTAGTTCAGTGGGCAGAACAGTTGCCGATATGGTGAGAGTTGGCCAATTTGGTAAAGATGAGGCTGTTAGGTATTGTCCTTGTTATTTTATTTTACAAGAGAGGGATCATCCTGCAATGAATCTCCATTTATCCTCTACGTATGCCCTTCAACAAGGGAACTTGTGTTCGGCTTCTGATGCTGAGAGTCTGGTTTACATGCTTTACTTTTCGTCTGGCGCTGATATTTCTTGAATTCAGTTGAAGGGGCATTGCAATGGAGGGAAACTTCTTGGTCAAGAAGGCTACTCCACCAGAAGCTTGGAGATATGCAGTATTGAAAGCATTTGCAGCAGATTACGTTGACAGCCTTTGTGGAACGCCCTATCCTGTGGACTATGATATCTGGCTTAGAAGGTTAGAGAGACATATTCGTGAAGAAGATATTGATACATCAAGTTAGAATTTTTTTTCTTCAGCGCTGAGCCTCCCTGAATTTCGGTAACCATTATTTTGTGGCTGTGGGTCAGCCTTTCAGGAGGTTTCTTCTATGAATTACTTTGGGTCCTCAACGGTGGAGCTAGAAACTTTGTATTGCCAGTTTCCAACTTGAGGAGTAAATCAACCTACATCTTGCTGATTATATTTTCTGTTTAATTATTAAGCTGATCCTAGTTTCATTTTTTCACGGGCTCCGAAATGCTCAAAAGAATTCTTGGATGAAAGAGTACCATATTAGATGCCTGGAGCCTCTATTGCTTGTTCAGTTGTTTGTGCAGTTCGTTGGAACGAAGACCGTTGGAGTTATCAGCATTGAGTTGTTACATACATGTATTTTGTTTTTACAAATGTGATTATTGTAAGGATAGGAATTAGTGAGATTGCACTCAACTGTGTGATTGTTTGTTTGCTTACGGATATGGCCTTGTAGTTGTAGGACACTGCTCAAGAAACCATTCTATATCTGTAAATGGAATATATCTTTCTATCACTTTATGAAACTCCGTGGTTTAGTTGAAATAGCCAATGAATCATTATTCTTTTGTTCACTGGCATTACTATTTCTTGCTTATAATAAAACTCTTCTTGCTGTTTGCCTTCTGCTACGTAAAATATTTTAGCTGAAAAGCAACGGATGCATTGTTGCCCAGGTTGTCAAATTTATGCTGGCAAATCTGGATTTGTTTATTTTTTGCTTTGTTTTGTAGAATTTAGTTTAGGAGACAAGTAAAATCTTTTCATTTCATGATTCGATGAATAAAGTGACTACAACAGCTAGAAGCTTACCATACAGTCAACTTAGATGTAAATTATAATGCACTACTTTAAAGTAGTTTTACTGTTTGGTTTTTAGATGATTGGAATGTTCATGTGGTGCAGGGCTGATCAAGGTGATATATACAATTTCATCTTTATTTTTTATATTCCATATATATAGAACCAACTTAATTTTAGTTTAAATTGTTAGGAAAATGCCATGTTCTCTCTTCTATCAATGGTTAATTCCCATGTTATATCATTATGTCCAACCATGACAAAACAACTCCATTAATTATTTTCTTCTGACCAATCAAACTCGAAAGACCCATATCAATAACAGTGAAAATAAGCAACAACAACACTTAATATGTTGGTGATCAAGAAAAACCAAAAAAGCAAATACAATCGAAAATCTAATCAAGCTGAAAGTAAATATTGACATGTATTTTGGCTTGATTTGTACGAGCATGAAAAACATGTTTTGCTGCATATATAATCTATATCTATATATTTATAGTCATTCTCCGTTATTATTTAGAAACCACTTTACAAAGATGGATGCTAACCACCGGAGAATGAAAGAAATTGCAATTCAACTTGAGAAGACAAAAAAATTAGAAGTTGCAAATGTGGGACAACAAAGAAACCTATTACTATAAGTTAAAAACTACTAAAAACGAGAATTCCCAATATGAGAATGCAACCTATCCTCTTGATCTTAGAAAATTATGTGTAACGATTACAGTTTAAGGGAATAACAATCACTTTCATCACTAAAAGTAATCATCATACAGGTGCCAAATTTCAAACATGGCAGAGCAAGACTATTTGACTCAGCTGATAAAAGATAGGTGCATGAATAAACAAGGAACAAAGTGTCTTTGTGCCACTAATCTGCATCCATCTCTTCAAGTGCAGCTTTAGCCGCAGCCTTGGCTTCCTCTAACAAATCGGCAGGAACCTATGGCAACATCAAATAGCAGCACGAGTTACTAACCAGATTTTTATTTCAGTTAACATCAATAACATTCATTCACCACTATGAAATACATTGAGCACAGACGAAATAAAAGTACAACCGAAAATTACAAAAGTAATAACTAAGCTAAAAAAAAGTCATTTGCTTTAATATCTCGTTTTTGCTTCTGTGACAGGTTCAGGCAAAAACAATGAAAATGTCGAGTCGATACTAGCATTTAACACAAAGATACCAGTTCCTACTAAAGTGTACTCGAGAAGGATTGTGAATCACCTTCTGATGCTGTCGATTAGACTCATCACACACCCAACTCATTTCCAGTTCAAACGCCTTGTCCTTTGCCTCATCATGTACTCCGTATATTCTGGTTCCAGATAGAACATATTGTCAGAAAGCTGAACAATAAAAGCATGTCGCACCAACTAAATGAATTTGAAACCCTTAAATTTCTGGATAAAACTATAAACCGATGCCTTCATTCTTGCAACCAATAGATAAAAGCATAGACTTACCACTTCATAAAGAGCTAAACTTGGTGTTTCCAAATGCAAGCGATGATACTAACATCCCTTTACGCATAGTTAAAACCAGTTTCACATATTGACTTTTCACTTACAACTAAACAATATCATTGTAAAGCTATAAGAATCTGATTGGCTGCCAGAAAAATATTGAACTAACCAAAGGTTGAGAGAACTGGAACATGTTATACAAATTGATTTGCAGGCAGTTCTCAATGTCAACACAGAACATCTACAAACTACACACAGAACATCTATTGACTACACAAAAATAGATCTTGCATTTGCATCAGGTCAGATATCAACAAAAATTTCAGCAATAAAATATTAGCATGAATCAAATTAGTTACTTACATTTTGGCTACCTCAATTACCCCTTGCCGACACGTCATTTCAGAGAGCTTCAACTTTTCAATTTCTCTGCCAAGATTTTATTTCAAAGTCACATTAGTGTGCATAAAAGAAAATTTGGTGCCAGATATAACAAAAAAATCCAAAACAAGGCAAAGCTTGATTGAATAAAACCCAACTTGATCACTGTCTTTTTTTAATCTCATATTCATAAAATAGCTTAGTCTCCGTCAAGTATACTAACTAAACCAGTAAACTCTTTAGCTGGTTTACTTCTAACATCACCAAGCTGTTATCAGACCTTCATAAAACCTAAATAAACAGTAAGAAAAATAGTTCAATAGAGAAACATAAATAAATTTTAACTTGAATTTCAGAAAGTTCAAAGTTAAATAGAATATTATTTTAATAGAAACATTTCTGAAACACCAAAATAAAGCATTTCTGAACCACCAAAATAAAGTGTCACACAAATGGGGTTATAGATCTCTCTCCCCTGGGCGGATAGGCAAATAAACCTGTCTTTCGTAATAAGACTGAAATAGAAAATAGATGAAAGAAATCGAAGATATTACGTGGTCATTCAGTAACATACCGGACCAGTTTAATGATTAAAAGATTTTGGCTAAGGGTGTTTAAGTGACTTGCTAAGATAAGCAAGTTAATCTCATTGATAATGGGTGTTTCTATGATGGTAGAAACTCTAGAGGTCATTCCCATTGTTGCCAAAACCTCATGGAGTCCAAATAAGATATCCCCATTTTCAATTACAACACCTCTGGCAAACTATGGTCTATGGCAAGAAAAGATCTGAACCTTTTAAGCATTGCTTTTAGACAAGAGAAAGGGTTTATAACCATAAAATTCTGGGTAAACAGCACCACGTGAACATCGAAAGCACAATTAATGTATCAGGAAATTGACTTTGATATTTGATACTGTATCATAGTGAAGTCAAAGAAAAACTTCTTTGACAACAGCTTTTTAGTTGTGATTTTAGCCCAATCATTACTGTTAGTAGTAACTTTCCATGCAGTTTCTGGATCTGCAAGTTTTATTTCTAAAAATTAATAAATGTCAAAAACTAAGGCAGATATTAATCAGTTTAACCTTTTCTTAAAGATAATTTTGTCATTCCCTAAGGGAAGAGGGAGCATATAATAATGAACTTTGTCATTTTCTTGTGGATGATAATGGACAGAGCTTAAAATCTAGAAAGACTAACTGCACAACCCCAAAGATGACATCCATGGCACTTTTAAAAAAGGCTAAACGAAATTTCAACTCGGAACATTTCGTGCAATCTTTTTTTGATAGTTGAAACTAAATGCATATTCAAATATCCACCACCATCAGAAAGCCATGCCTGATTGTTTCAAATCTGAAATTTAGGTTGTACAGAAGAGATCTATATACTTACGTCTTAGCAGCTTGTCTGCCCTTCCCAATAGCAGCACCAAAGTACCTCTACAACAAACAACACAAGACATCAACATCTTAAATAAACTCAGTCGATAAGGGTCGATCCAAGGCAAGGAAGCTATTCAAGAAAATATAATAGCACGCCATGTGGCGCAAACATATAGTAGTTAAACAATGATTTAACTCACATAGGAGACACCAGACGGCTCAACCATGTATAGTTGAGGTCCATCTCTATCATAGCCTCCAAGGATCACCCCACATCCGAAAGGCCTAAAACAAGTAGTACTCCAAACTTTCAGGTACAGAAAGCAAATAAAAGGAAGAAGTTGGGAGTATCAAAATGGCAACATATAGTCCAACATACCTGAGCCACCAATAAAGTGTGCATAAATGAACATAACTAGCAACACGTTCTGCAAGCTCTTTCACCGGAATTGGTTCACCATATGTACTACAAATTACAAACCCAGTCAATAGAAGAGTCAAAAATTAGGGTGGTGATATATGATGACAGCGAAACACCAATTTTCATAATTTCGAGTCAGGGAAAAAAAACTTTCATCACCATCTAGAACTCTAAGATGAGGCTCTAAAATCTTTTTGATTTTCCATCTACTAATGTAGGAAACATACAAACTACATTTGGTAATAATAATCAAAGAAACAAATGCAAAAGCCCCCTGTCGAATCAAAAGCTATGATTATAAATATCCCACATGACAACATTGGCATCTCTCTAGAAAGGATAATATTAGCAATAGGATCCGAGAAAGTGAATATAAACCCTTGCTGGAAATATCAACAGAAGCAGAGAGGTATCCGGCAATGCCTCTTTGACGCAATCGTGGCAGCAGAAGAGCCAGAAAAATGACTTAAATACCACTGTATCTCACTTTGTTATTAAGAAGGTGCTTCTGAAGAAACGCAAACCAATTAATATTTCTTTAGTCTTGAGTAGCTTCATAGTGGGATTGTAGATCTGCAATATTTTCCATTGATCTGATATCTAGGTTGACTATAGATACTAGATAGCTATGCATAAGGGCCAGATCGTCCATTTATGTTATTACAACCATGAAAAAATAAATTAGCACCTGCATAAAGCTCACTCAAGAAGTGAACTTTGCACTTCAAAGCCGTGGCAATATGCATAGATACATCATTAAGTTTTTCGTCCATATGTCACACTCATGGAGTATCACACTTTACCTAACACTAGTCACCATACAATTTAAATTATTCCATGCGTCTCTACCATAACAAATATACCCCGTAATAGAGCGAGTTAATTCTTCTGGCCGCAAGTGATTCCATAAACGATAGGTCCTAATCAATTTACATTTTCAAAACATTAGTAGAAAACTACAAAGGGTAAAACAAAACTTAAAGCCACTGGGAAACCACAAATTGGTTTGCAGTTTTCATAGATCTATGAAATGCCAAATGTGAACCCCCACGAATGCTAAACTACAGGAGAAACAGATGTAGAAACAGAACTCACACATCAAGATGTAAGTACACACACACACTGACACACATATGTTTTCAGATAAGGTGGCAAGAAGCAAACCTTTCATAGTTGGTTGCTTCAGACTTCGCACGGGCAACAATTTGCCTCCCATCTGCAGCCAGTCCTGCAACAGCCTATACATAAAGAAAAATAGGCAAAATAGAATAAATCATCACCCAAGAATCATCCAACAGAGCATTGGTTCAAAACTTTAACAGTGACATAGGTCCTTTTCAGCTTTAATGGGGCATTTGATGATGCTTCTGTAAATTTGTACCTCTAACAAATTAATAACTGCAGCAGAACTCCATTGTCATCACTGGAAACCATCTTAATTAATTTTTCACGAACAAACACCAGAAAAGAAAGATAACAAAGCCTAAACTTTTTCTCAATATTAGTTCGACTCTAAAGAACATAGACAAAGAAAGCTTTCATCTTCTCAGCCAAGTATTTGACAAAATTAAATCAGCACCATCATCAAACAAAAATAAGTAGGAGAACTAGAGAATATCTAGCTTTAGCGCACCCCAAAGACAAATTATAAGGTATTGGAATGACAGGACCCAAATTAGAGCAGAATGGATGTAGAAAATTCATACAGCCGACCTAGTTCAACTTAGTTAGGAATGAGGAGTAATAGTTTAATTCTTTCAAATTAAGGTGGTGTCCAATTCAGCCTACTCACACCTCGGTTAATCCGCCAGTAATTATTATCTACAAGCAATAGTGGAGCCAGGAATCTATACAAGGGGATTCAAAAATGTTATGCCTGGGATTTGAACCTATAACCTAAGCATTTTTTAACCCCCTTTGCCACTATACTAGAAATTTTTCATATGCCACGGTAACTCAACAGCTATTATATACAACCTAAAAAACTAGTTTTTGCCCTATTTAGATTCAATGAAGGGGGTTCAATTTAGCTCCGCTTCTTTCAAGTTAGCTCCACCCCTGTCTACCTGGTAACTCTATCCACCAATGCTTAGACGATGGGAAGAATTCACCTACTGTCACCTTTGCTGATTCCAATTATTAGCACTCCAGGTCTTCGACCCGCTAGGGACTAAGGGATAGTAGTATTTATTGTACTATTAGTTGTATTGTCATATAATATCCTTGGGAGGATCAAATAACAAATCAATGCAAGAAAAATCAGTAACAATACATCAGTAGTATGAGCATAAACGATTACCATGCCAGAATGGCGATGAACGGAGTGAATCCGACGGTTAGATCCCGGCAACATCATTTTAGACGCAATCAGCTTCTCAACTCCCTACAATTTCAAAATTCCCCAATATATCAATCAATCAATAAAAACACTAAAACACAAAACCCTAAAACCCCTAAAATCAACCAAATAAAACAAAATACCAAAACGATTCCGTCCTTGCATTTGATTCCGACAACAGTACCACTGTTATCGACGGCTTTGCCGGCGTATTCGATCTGAAATACTCTGCCGTCCGGGGAGAATGTCGTCACCGATAAGTCATATCCTGTTCCTATGCTGCTCATTTTTCAAGTTCCAGTTCCTTTGTTGTGAAATGCTACAAATTTTACTGATTCAGTTTTGAGTTCGAAGATTTTTTGCTTTGGCACTATGAACGACGGAACATACAGAGGAAAAGGAGTTTTCTTTTGTGTCAAGACAGAATAAGAGTTGGGAAGGTAAGGGGAAGTTGTTTTGTTAAAATTCTTCATTGGGGAATAGAGTTCACATATTTTAACCTATACAACAGGAAAATAAACTTTCTCTGATCATTTTATTTGTCACTTTAAACCAAAAAACTTGTCTAAAATATTTGTAGCTTAGAAAAATAATATTTGTAAGTGGTTTTAAGGATACGTGGATTAACTTGACACAAAACAATAAATTAGATTGCAATTGAAATAAATAGCGATAAAGTAAATGCAAACCACACGAATTGAATAATTTCAGCCTTGGAAGGTTAGCCACCCTCGAGTCGAATGTACTTCAATCGATATCAAGACACATAAGAATAAGAGTTTAAAGAGAATAATAATGTATTGCTTTGGAATGTGTGTGTTACCATCTGTTAAATGAATTATCAGACCCTCTTTATATAATAGAGGAGTCTTACCTTAGGTATAATTCTATAAAAGGTAAAAAATCTCTTGATTTGCTGACTGTCGGTTCCTTATCGATACGTGCCGAGATTTTCGCCATAATATCCGATCGGTCACAGATATTTCGGTCTTCTGTAGGTCATGCTAACAATGTTTCTTCGAGCTCGTTCGGGTTTATGGTCGACTCCGAGATCACGGACCCAATATTCTCGAAGGTAGGTGTTCTGACCCCGGGTTCTAGCCCGGTGGGACTTGGAGTCGATCTTCAGCCCTTTATTGCCAAGTTTCGAGCCTGACCCGCCATGTCGTAGGCGAGCTCGATTTCGACCGTATACACGAAAAACTTTTAATTTGGCATTTGAAGTATCCAAAATATTTTCTAAATTAAGAATATGGTTTATTTTTTCAAAGTGTGATTCGTGAGCCAATGAGCATCAAGACATATTGTGAATGCTCGGTAACATGGTTTGTGGAGTTTTAGCCAAACATTGTGACCTCGTTCGGGGTTATGGTCGACTCTGGGATCACGGACCCAATGTTCTCGAAGGTAGGCGTTCTGACCCCGAGTTCTAGCCCGGTGGGACTTGGAGTCGATCTTCGGCCATTTATTGCCAAGTTTCGAGCCTGACCCGCCATGTCGTAAGCGAGCTCGATTTCGACCGTATACGGTAAAATCTTTTAATTTGGCATTTGAAGCATCCAAAATATTTTCTAAATTAAGAATATGGTTTATTTTTTCAAAGTGTGATTCGTGAGCCAATGAGCATCAAGAAATATTGTGAATGCTTGGTAACATGGTTTGTGGAGTTTTAGCCAAACAGGACAGAATTTAAATTATTTCTCTCATTTCTTTTTCTGATCTTTATTTTTCGCTTTGACATAGTCATTTTCTTTGTATTTCCTGTTCGTTAGACAATGAAAGTTGACTTCTAATTTTAATCTTTAACCAAAACTAATAATTGACATTGAAGCAATCATATTTTAAACGGGACTTAGGGATGCTTAACAGATTTCCTTTGGTTAAACGAAATTGTGTTTGAATATGTATTTTATTCGAAGAAAAGCTGAAATTTTGTGAGTGGAAGAAAAATTCACCCGAAAAATGTCCGAAACCAGTTTTTAGGAAATTGAAAATTTTTGAATTTTTTTTCCAAAACATGATCATATTTCAAACAATATTTTCAAGTTTTTTTTTGAAAAAGTGAAGCCAAAATCTATGAACTATTTCTAAGGTTTAAATTCAACTAAGTATTTGTTGAAAAAGGGGTGCAAAATATTAAACATATGAATCACTTCTCTGGTCTCCCGCTTACACCTCGGTGACACCATTAGGCATTATTGAATACTTTGAAACTTAAGTTTATTTCTATTGTACATTATTTTATATACACACACTTTAGATATACTAATTTTAGTGTGCGTGTCTGCATGTATATCTTGTGCCTAACAGTAAAAATTAATAGAATAAGAATTATATATAATAGCAAATGATGTGAAAATAGATGCAATATTTATTTAAGTGGAAACAAAGTTATTACCTTTGACTCAATAGTTGAATTCAAAATTAGATATCTTCTAAACCGACAAAGATGAATATTTTTTATCAAGTTTATATATTTGTAATTGAAGATATCTTATTGTATGAGATAATGATGCGAGAGACATGGTTAGACGCAAGGTAATGAACGTGAAGTATGTGTCTACAAAAAATATGTTAGTTGTTCATTGACTGAGCCTTTATCTAGAGATGCATTTCTGAGACACACCAGGTCTCAAGGCTTGCGTAGACTTTAAGATGCTTTATTTTTTAAATTTTTTCCCATGTCCACAAAATTAATGTTCTTTGATTATCAATAAAGTTGATTTAAATACATACATATTATTATTGTTGAATATTATGTGCATTTTTTATTTTTTTATTTTTGATAAGTATGTCGGGTGGGCAAGAGGTTGACCTTCTCACACATGCAACCGCCTCCTTATCTTAGTAATGTGAGGGGATAAGACATGATCTTAAGCAAAATTATCATAAGGATAATTTGAGAGTTATTCGGTTAAAATCAGAATGCTGCATAAACAATGACATAAGGTTATTAGGGTGAATAACATTCACCCAGTCTACTTTGTGAGTCGAGTAGGAGTTTAAAATTATATTGTAGATCAAGAAAATCAAATTTAGACATCTATAGTGTCTACATATCATCCGTGCAATATTTTTTATGAGATAAAGACATACGCTCTTCGAGAAAAAGAAGAAAATATTGTAGCACGTGGTTCATACCACGCGTGCTAATGTCGACCAATTGGATTAACATAAGTCTATTCTCAACTAATTACTGTGTGAGACCTAGAGCCTTTATGGTGGCTCAACATTTTATACCCTCAGAGGCTCCGATTAGATACTTGAGACTTAATTCGACTTTAGCTATCTTAGTGTATTTCCAAAAAAACTATGAACACAGATTCGGTCTAGTGGATTATATCTAGAAAAGCAGTCAAGCTAATATTAAGGGTATCATGAGAAGAGGAAGATTACTAATGGAATCTAATTAATTTGTGTTCACTGGTACATCAATTATAACTTATGGGTTATGATTGTGAATACAAGAAATAATGATATATGAATTTTTGAGATTATATCAAAATGTGATTCATACAATCCAGGATACTGCATACTTTATGATCTACTTGAAAATTTGCACTTGACGAGAGGTTATATACTTCTAATAGTTGTATATTACTTAGCTCTCATATTATATTGATCACACGATCTGCTTCCTTGTATGAATGTTTGAAGAAATGATATGAGAACATATTTCTCAGATTAGATAAGCACTTCCATTACGTGCGAGTGGGAGATGCAGGAAATTCGGGTCCATCCATAAGGGGTGCTTTAACGCCATAAGGTTATTACGTAATCATAATATTTCCTACATAAGTACACTTATAGTGCATAATAAAATAATCTCACTAGTATTTTATTTACGCCCTTTCTCTCTCTCAATCCAACCTATGGTTTAGGTGTGATAGGAGGTTGCTCCGTCGCAACATAATAACCACCACCGAGCAGTAACTCCACTCGTGGTTTCTTCTGCTTCCGCTACGCGAACAAGTAAACTCTCGTTTTATGGTTTATGCGCTATCGAATATGTTTAGATTATCGCTTACTTATAGTTTTTAAAAAATATATATATAACTTTTTAATTATTTTAAAGTTAAGACGTTATAGTTGATTTGTATCTCATTGTAAATTTAACACTATTGCATTGTTTATACTTGTAAAAATATACTAAATATTTTATTTTCTATAAGTTAATTTATTTTATTTTTAAATTTTTCTTGAACTTTTAATATACTTTCTATATTTTTATATTATTATGCTATTTTTTATTAATAAAATTAAAGATTTATGCCTCAAATCTTGGGGCTTAACCTCGTTCTATAGTAAATAGAATATCCTCATACCTCGCCTTTTAAAATATTGTTTTAGAAAAATAAACATATATCACACCAACCAGTTAAAATAATACATGATTTTGTGTTCATGATGTGTAGAGGGCTATCAGACAACTGGGGAGCTCGGTACATGAGGCTACCAAGGCGCTCCGAATAGCAGTTTACTTATCTCTGTAAAAATATGCTAAATCAAGTTAATAATAAAGAAAAAAATGAATAACCAGCTTACCCAAACATATGCAGACATATTCGGTCTAGTGGAGTATATCTAGAAAAGCAGTCAAGTCAATGTTAAGGGTACCGTGAGAAGAGGAAAATTATTGATAGAATCTTATTGATTTGTGTTAACTGGTGCATCAGTTATAACTTATGGGTTATGATTGTGAATACAAGAATAATGATATATGAGAATTTAAGATTATATCAAAATGTGATTCATATGATCTAGGGTACTGCATACTTTATGATTACTTGCAGGTTTGCACTTGACCGGAGGCTATATACTACTATCAGATGTATAGCACTTAGTTCTCACAATATACTGGTCACACGGTCTACTTCCCTGTATGAATAATTGAAGAGATGAGATGAGAACATTTTTCTCATATTAGATGAGCACTCCCATTATGGGAGAGCGGGAGATGTAAGAAATTTGGGTCCGCCCGTAAGGGGTGATTTAAGGCTCATTAAGGTTATTAGTTAACCCTAATATTTTCTACACAAGTACACTTACAGTGTACGATAAAAGAATTTCAACAGTATTTTATTTACGCCTTTTCTCTCTCTCAATCTAACCTAGGGTTTAGGTTGTGGTATAGGAGGTTGCTCCGTCACAACGTGACAAACCACCACCGCCCGGTAAGTCCAGCGGTTGTTCATTCTGCTGCCGCTACACGAACAAGTAAGTTCTCGTTTTATGGTTTATGCGCTATCTAATGTGTTTGATTATCTCTTACTTACATTTTTTTTAAAAAAATATATGTTTTTTTAATTATTATAAAGTTATGACGTTATAAATGATTTGTATCTCATTACGCCTCATATTTCGGGACTTACGTCTCACTCCACAGTAAATATAACATCCCGCCTCATGCCCCGTCTTTTAAGATACATTATCAGACAAATAACATATATAACACACCAAGTAGTT